AAAAACGAAGCCGATTTCGAACGTACCGCGCCCATATTCTAAAAGAAACATATAATGGTGTGTGAATTCATTTATCTATGTGCGTTCGACTGCCCCATGTCTTAACCGTATAGCATTCTAAGGCATATCTCTGCGAAAGAGCAACAACAAAAGTGATATTTTGTCACCAAATGCCTCACCCCTACTTAGTGGGGGATCTTGGTGGCACAGAATTTCTTCCTTCCTTGAGAAGATCTAGGTTCTTGGATGTGACATACTTGTCGCAAAACTGAAGGCGTTAGGTAAAGACGTTTTATTCCAAAAGGGTATATGCACTGAGCAACAATGAGACGCACCGATGTTAACTGAAGCAACAGGGCTGAAAGAAAGAGTCCGCTCATTATAACGAAACCGAAGTTTATTTCACCCAGACAGTGGGGTTTTCAAAGTTGCGAATTTTAGGGGAGTTAATCAAGTCCGTTTGCGCATTCTAGTGATAAGTCGCTCATACCACTTTGTTTAAATGAGCGAAATTTCAAGGTCACCGACCACTCCCGATTTGTGTGGTTGCCAGTTTACGGTGAGGCGAGAAATGAAATCTTAGCAAATTTAGACAATCGCGCTGCCACTCGAATGGAATATAACATTTTCAGAATAACTGATGCAAATTCCAAACGGGAAATCTTTGAAAACCTTTTTATGCCTTATATTCTTCAAGCGTAACTCATTAGATGAGACTGTTCATCGATCTCCGGATTAAAACAGGTGTTTGGAAAGCTTGCCCCCTGTTCAGTACGATAATAAAAGGCAGCCTGGTTCACCGTACAGTCATCTTGCAAATGTGCACCTATGTGAATTACCCCAGTTCTCAGATATGCGCAACCAGTCAGTGTGTAATGCGGTGTATTCAGATGTATACCAGATGTAGCATCGACACAAAAGTATTTTTCCTATTACAAATAACGACTACTCTCAGCTGGAACACGTCACAAAGCTCAGAAAATAAGACCACCCATTTTCCCTGATCACCATAACCACACGCGTCGTTGCCTACCGTGGATATTAATCGTAATAGCTCTGCCCATGTCTATGTGAAACACTGATTTTGAGGCCTCAACTACGAATGATAAGCTGAGCCAACAGCCGACAATATCGCTTCATCATGATGACCGTGTGCGTTGCCGCCGTGCTATGCTTGCCCTTGAAAAATACAGAACCACAATTAGTTGAATAAGTTGTTCACTAGTATGGTGGCAGTCCGTTTCGCTTTTCGTAAACCGTTTTCACCCAACAACGAATCTTGTGTGAAAATGTATATTCGAATAATCTCGTTCATATCTTTGGTAGAATTGCGCAGACACCCCATTGTTATGAAGGTGAACTCACTTTCTGCTAAGTTAGTTTCGTAGTTCGTAATGAAGGCTCCTTGCCTACACGGATGTTGGAGTCAGGGAAGTAAAAGCTAATGAGGGATGTATGCAGTGCAGCCGTAAGGTCAACAGTTGTAGACTTGGTCCCTAGTATTCAAGGACCACATTCGTCTTCAAGCATATGCTCATGGGTGTAACAGTTGCGGCGATCTTTTGAGTGAGCGGGCACTTGGTGTCGAACATGCCTTGTAGAACACTAAAATCTAACCTCACTCCAATTTTGCTACCCGATACTTGGACTCTGTGCCTTTAAAGAAACTACAGTTCCGTCGCACTTATCTTACTATGTGGACATTCCATAATTATTCCAGTGCCATTACCATCAACTAGAGCGACAGATTTTTGAAACCGCCTGTAAGCTCCGATGCTTGTGCTTGTGAACAACTCTTTTGTGCTGTTTAACATCCTGTTCTAGCATCTCAGGCACAGCGCGTTGAAAGCCGTCAGATCTTTCAAGCTTTATCAAGTCTCTTATCCATGTCTGTCATTTGTTTTTGGGCCTCATCTAACTTATCCTCCATGAAGAGTACTGTTACCCATTTTCACTTCCACAGTCTCGTCAAAACTGTCCTCATACACAAGCGACTAAGCTCACAATCCCTATATAATTTGTCTCCGATGGCGGCAATGATCTCACTGCAAGGTTATCTGCATTTAACTGCCTTAAGAACATCCCACATCCAAGAAACTCTGCTACGAATGCACTGATTTCGTTCTTGGTCTCTAAGCGTTTGACGGACTCTGTCTATCCAAAATCCATCCTCTTAATGCCACTTGCCTGCCCATCCGTGTTCTTCCAAAGTGATCAGCCTTTTTGGTTGCTATCCAGCTGTAAATATTTGCCACCTCTTTCTGCACCATGAGTGCCCCTTCAACACCACCTATCACCCAATATGCATACGACTGTACGGTTTCACGGTTAATCTTCCCACTGCATGCTTTAATCTTACAGATCACCCCTAAGCCTTGTTTCGCATCATACAGTACCTTTTACAGTAGAGAAAACAGAAAATTGTGAACAGACAAGCGTGTCGAACGCCTGTGTCGTTGGTCAAATCTTGTTTAAGTACAAAATATCAGATGGGTAATCGTTCGAATGTAGTACTTTTTGGATGCTTTTTAAATTAAAAATGTTGCCGTGTGTAAATTAACGAACGCACTGGACGCATGTTCTGTAATGTTTCTGAGGTATTGAACCACATTTTGGCGCTGGAACCCTTAAATACATTATGATCTTACCTGTCTAGACGACTGACAGCAAACCGCCCAATGACTCGAAGCCGACTCGAAGTCAAGTGTACCCCGGCCACCATTTCGGGAACAGTGGATTCACCCATTCGTCCTTCCTACTTAGTTTCATAAGTGGCAATGAGTTAAGCGGCGCGAAATCTAAGCAATGAGCCTTCCTAACGTTCGCAGAGGGCCAAGTCAGTTTACATCGACAGCGCGACGCCAACCTCACCCCTGTTGGGACGTGGATTATCATTTTCACAATCCGGGAGTGTCGTTTCACGATGGTAGTTAGACATGATAACCACTGTCAGCTTCTGCTATTTCGGGCCGCAGCCTAATGCGAGCGAAGAACCGAAATGTGCCTTTGACTGACCCGTGAATATTCTCGGTTCATGCATGAGTGTTTGGCCGAGGCTAGCTATTCTGACAGCCTCAACCCGGGTCAACTTAGATTTTTATGTGCGGGTCTGTCCACGGATCCACGAAAGACATCGCGACGACGGAACTAAAACCGCCTCACTCACCGTGATGATTTGCCCATAGCTTAACGTGCATTTATTATTTCTCTGCCGATCGTGTCACATGCGTCCTAAACTCCATCTCACTCTATTAAATTTTAGTCAAATCTCCGGAGTTATTATACTGTTTTCTCGCACTGTCCAAAAAAATTTCCGCCACTATCAGTGCGTCATTGTGCCGTCGGGGATTTAACCCCGCCGTTCGCCCAACACGGCCTGTGATATCATATAAAGGGTCCAATAACTATATTAGGCATGACGAATTCTTTGACTTTGTTTGGCAGGAATCCTGTCGCCTCATCAGGAAACTACGTCTTCTGTAGATGGCGACTGCCCAGTCCGTTTCGGGTGTGCGCGGATAGAGACGACATAAATGTTTTCATGTACCATTCCAAGATATTCCCAGATCCATTACAAGAGAAAATGGCTGAAGAAACCAACTTCTTCGCAAAGTTACCCACCGTACCTATTGAGACATCACATTGGGACATTGTGGCTATAAAATATAAATACCACGCCAATAGTGGAACTGCAGTATGTTTAACAACGGTCAACAAAACTGCGGTCGCATGGAGAATTTTAAAGAGTTCAAAAAGGCCGCCAAATGCTAAACTTTGTGTCAATATCTTCGCCGTTCGAAATATGGCACAGAGAAATTCGGGGTGTATATCTACGAAATGGCCCTGTAATCTACTCACTCTAGAGACTCATGTCCCAACCAGGACAATGAACCACCCCACCTCCAATGCCCTGCGCTAATACAACCCAGTCTAGGAGCAGACTCCTTAGACCGACCACAACCAAATGGACTAGAGCTTCTCCACCTCACCAAAAAAGGTGGCAGAAACTACTCTTTTGAACTGACGAAAACAGATTCACACAGGATATCCAGTAACCGAGCAGTGTTTCTTTAATAGCTACCAACCTGCTGGAAAGTCTAAATATCGGGCCATTAGGAAAGCACTTACCCATCAACAGTGGCCTAAGCCACGACCAAAATGTTCACTGAGAGTGCCACTCGTAAGGAACGAATCTGCGAAATGTGGCTAAAGGTAAACAGACCTCTTAAAAACTATACACACACTGATGTTCAATGCCTTGTTACGTCGAAAACCGACTAACATGCGAAACCACGACACGATTTCAAACCGTGTGGACTCAATAATTACCACATGTGGCTCCCTACAATAACTACATAGCCAGCTGACGAACAGATCATCCGTGGTTCGTGTGGACGAGGGGCTTTCGAACCAACTTCCTATTCTTAATGGGGCCTCGCAAAATTATATTAACATTTACACGCTGGTTTCTAATAGAGGCGAGCACCCCAGACTCACATGAAGCAATGTCTTTCAGCCAAAACGAACATCACTGAAATATAGCAACTGGTTCATCTCCTCGCTGGCATAATAATCCATCTTGACGGGAATATACAGTATAAATTGGCAACGATAAGTAAAATCACAATCAGTGCCTGAAAAATAGGAAATTCCACCCAAGTCATCGTGGAACATGCTTTTTGCGTATTCTTCTGCTGGCACGCTGCGAGAGTGACAGGAACCTGCGGACGTTCAACTCCGGTGACCGACAGGCGATATTCGACTCATGATTTAAAAGAGAGTTCATCTGTATACGTTCATCATCCAGGCCACGGACATGTGGACAATGTAAATATCGACCAATGAGTGCTTAGAGTTTTCCGTAATTCGGTAGTTTGGTCGTGTGCCGTACGCTGACTACGCGGCGATGTCCTCGGGCTGTAGGATGTAAGATGGCATGTTCCCGTCATGTTTTATTGTACGCAGACAATTGTTTGGTGACGATGAACATAATACTCTCCAAATTTATGGTTCCACTGCTGACATATATCCAAGTGCCAGCAGTGCGCTGGATTACGACAGAGTTACTGCCAGCAATAAAGTTTGGTGTATTTTCAAGGTGATAAGTTGTAGATAAAAATAAAACCCGCGGTGAAGTTCTTTTGGGAGTATCAGTATTATTTGGGTCGGTTGATATGTAGACACAAATATACGCCTCTGATTGCTTATTGCATTAACAGTGAGTTTCGGTTTATGACACTACGGTCCCGTAGACAAGAGTACCGGGACACCCAACTCAACGGATAACAGTAGCATGATACGGCTGAGGAACACGGATACCTCCAGGAAGCTTCTTTTGAGGGAATTTCATGGGAAGGTAGTGACGATGGACTTCGCGGACAAAGAGGAGCCTGTACTCGCAGTTCTGGACAGGTCGTGCACACTGCATGTTTTCACGGTAGGTTCAACTGTCTTGTCAAAAAGGTACCTGTTTCACTTAAGATGCCTCAGAGATTCCACAAACCAGTTCTATCTCATCTGCATAAAGCTGTGGTTTACCTCAATCCGGAACCCAGTGTCTTCGGTTGATTCATTAGCATTTTATTATGAGGGTCGGAATTAGGTGTAAAGTTAAGATTGTTCGATATCCTCGTTCGCTTTCACTTTAGGGTGCAATTTATGTACGTGTGTTTCCCCTTAAGTTCATTTAATGTCTTGAGTGTGGGTAGGTGTCATTCCTGTGCGTTTATGCTGGTTGACCGGTGGCCATCGCCTTTGCGCGTCTCCTATGCAGATCACTCCTTGACTGCACGTAATGTAGTACCCCGCTTGGCCTGAGTACATAGTGTAAACGTGTTGACCATTTGTTTGGCACGCTGGTTTCAGTCTGGACACTTGTTCAAGGAATTTTCTCTACGATGAAGTAAACAAGTTAAATGTGGTACTTGTCAGGACAGTTCACACTGCGTTACTCGGGCAGCCAGCAGGTGAGTTTTTCCACAGCAGCCAGCCTTCCGCCCTCCGTATGGAGTGCGCAACTGTAATAAATAAGGTCATGAATAATTTTGGAAGGCACGTCATGAAACCCTTTTTGTTCGTGGATGGAAGTGTGGCTTTTGCTCCGTTTTCTGGGTCAGACATACGAGCACCCTGATGTATCGCATCACAGCTTATTTCCCATTTAGAAAATCTCACTGAACGTACTTTAAGTCAGTAACGAACCAATACGTTTTGCGTGTTTGGTATGCTCAACTCTTGCGACAATAACAATAATAACAACAACAATAATCGTTCAGCTGTAACATTCTTTCGGTGTCCAGTTGCCATACCACCCAAAGGAAGCACGAGGGCTGGGGGTACTGCCAGGTTACCCAAGCATAGACAGCGGAAGTCGAGAGGCATAGGTCGGTTCGAACCACGGCCTTTCCAGTCAGTAAATTTGCGCTCTAACCACAGCCATCTCGCTAAGGCGTAAACCTGACCGGAAGATGCATGTTTCGAATCCGACCTCCGCCACTCGACTTCCCTTGTCTAGACTTGGGCAACCTGGCAGTATCCCAGCCCTCGTGCTTCCTTCGGGTGGCATGGCAGCTAGGCGTCGGAAGGTTGCTACAGCTGAACGCTTTTTCTTAGCTGGTCAGTTTCTTAGCCCTAGTGTTTCCTTCGTGTGGCATGACAGCTAGGCACCAAAAATGTGCTACCGCTGAAACTTTTTTAAAAATTCCTAAACCATAATTGGTCTCATGCCACATCGCCATCGCTTGGCTTCAACCGGGTCGTCTTACTTGCCGTGTACTATAATGTGGACGAAATGATTTCTGCTTATGCCTCCTTCCCCCCACAGTTTCCCTCCTTCCCCTATCCTGTTTGTTGTGTTATCCCTGTAGGTTTTTCCATTGAAACTAACGATCCCACTCGTCTTGACGAACACAACCTCCTGGTCCTCCAGGTTGGGGGTTGGAATAAGTGTTGCGATCTGTTCCGTAAAGTGGTGATGTACTTACATTTCCAGCCAAACACCGCTGCCTGGCGGTCAGGCTTTTGAGCCAAAGACCTTGGTTGAGGACCCTAATCGTCCTCCTGCCTGGGTGTGGACGTCCTGGACAGTCCACATACGACCGTGACATTTGCAGCTAACAATACTCTCATGCCATATTGGCCATCAGGTGGTGGCATCAGCCTGTTCGCCTTACTTGCTGCATACGGCTGAGCGGGTAAGCGAAAACAGACTGCGGTTGACTCTTCCCGTCTTTCTCCTTCACATACCTTTTCTTTCTCTGGTCCCTATCCCATTACTAACTCCATCCTTGTAGGCCCGTCATTTAGGATGTTGACTTGTTCTTTCTGTGTCGGTTTTGTCATCTGGCGCCACAACCCTCAGGGATCTCGAAATCAATCTTCGAGCATCGACGCTTAATCTATCTGGCCGCCTTCGATGTCCGAACTCTGAAGCAAGCAGGTCAACAAACTGCTCTTGCTCTCACACGAATTGCTTGACATTGGTGTGTACTGTGTATCAGAAACAAGAATTCAAGATTCAGACACAGTGGTTGAGCTAACCGCCCCGCAACTCTTCACTCGCTTCTGGCTGCTCACCTCTGGCGATCGAGAGTTTGTTGCGGCAGGGTGTACAGGAGTTGTTATCGTCCTAGATCACCTGCTGGAAGAATCCTTGTTTGATTGAATACCCGTTGGTAGCCGCCTCTTTTCGGTTCATCTCGCAGCGTCTGTGAAGGAGTCTTACAAGCGGGAAGTTGATTAATGTCTGTTTGTCGTGTCTGGTTACACCTCAACTGACAGTAGCTTATCGCAGGCTGTTTTTTGCAGCACTAACTTCCGAAATAGCCGAAGTCGTCTGGCCACATGGTTTCCCCCAGTGGCGTGCCGGCCACGAACTCAAATCGATTAGATTTCCATCAGTCACGGGTGGCGCGAATCAATAACTGACTGCCGATCGTTTTGGAACACACCTGTGGAATCTTACCAGGCGCTCGTCCAGAGTCGCTTCTCCCTTCATTTTCCAAGGAAAAATCGCCTGGCGACTGAGAGACTGGCAGCTCTGGATGGTAGGCGAACTTGCCAGAACAGTCTTCTAGGATTTCTTCGAAATGCTCCACCATCAGATGTGGATTCGTACTGGGACGAGATTGCCACCTCTTTGTACAGTGCTGGGTGTTTTTCTTTTGGCACAACGCTCACTGAGGCACTGAATATCACACCGAACAGTGGCACTGCCTGAATCTCGGAGAAATATCCCAGCCGGTCGCAAACGTAACTTGATTGGACGAATTATTAAGCGTCAGGTAAAAGTGGGCGTGCGAACCGACCCCGAATTCTGATGGCCATGGAAAGCCAAGGAAATGGAAGGGGCCCGTAAAGCCGGTAATGCCCGAACATTATATCGGTTAATCCGCTCGTCATGTCCCCGGAAACCTATAGGCGAAACCGAAAAGGATCAGAATAGAGTAACCATCTTGAATAAAGGACACCTCGACAACAACAACTATTGTGGCAACTAGCTGCCACTCATCTGGAGCCCACAGTCGACGTAGAACCCTGGACGGTGAACGTAGAATCACCTATGGCCTCGGCGGTTTATGACTGCTCATGTTCTCTCAAGCGCCACGAAGCCCCCTGGTCCGAATGACCTCCCATCCGAATTGTTCAAAGATGAGGGTGAAATCCTCGGCTCTTGTCTGGTCTGTTTTCTTGCACTTAGGAAGAGAAGGCTGTCGCAGACGATTGGGTAGAGTCGGTGGTAGTGCTCATTTTCAAGAAAGGGGCTCGTAATGAGTGTGGTAATCACAGGGAGATCAGATTAAACCCAGTTGTGACGAGACTGCTGGTATCACTTGTGCTTCGTTCCCTTATGGTGACTCCTGAACCACTAACCCGTGAGCAAAAATCAGGGCTCTGGCCCGTCGGGGGTCGCGTTGACCAAATCTTCACATTCCGTTAGGTGCTAGAACAACGCCACACATACAAACCACCCACAATTTCAATCTTCCTGGATTTCCAAGGCGCACCGGTTGATCGGTATGTTCTCCTTCACACGTTTTCTCATCAAGGAAAGCACCAGAGGTTTGTGAGCATGTTACGTTCCTTGTATTCTCACACTTCCGGACGTGTGAGAGTATACGGAGATCTCTCGATGAAATAATGGGACGAATTTTGGAAGCCCTTCAAAACCCTGGTGTTGAAATAGCTTCTGACGAAAACATTGTCGATATGCGGACGAAATCGTTCTCGTGCTTGAAGAGGAACAGCAGGCGTAGGTGTTTTTGGATGAACTGACAAGGTCTCCCCGTTCTTTGTTACGAATCTTGCATCCATAAAGTTTAAGGCATGCTCGCGGACATAGAGTCTTTGAAAACGCCTCTTATAATTCAGGGAGGGGCACTCGAATTTTCGCTACGTTTAACCTACCTTAGTAGTTGTACTATTTCTAACTGTAGTGTCAGATGAGGTCAGTGCAGGAGTCTGCAAGGCTCGGGTTGTGTTTGCTAGCTTTAGGTACCTATGGTATCAAAGTAGTGTATCCCTAAATCTCAAGGCTTGTGTGCATCTGGCTACAGTATGGGCTATTCTGTTGTATGGCTGTGAGACTTGGCCCGTTTGAGCAGAGGAACTAAAACGTCGTTATGTGTTTGAAAACCGTTGTCTCAGAGCCATAGCTTGTGTTGGTTGTTGTCGGCGAATCCGTAACAATACAATTAGAAAGCGAGTTTTCAACTGTGCAATGGGTACTTCCATTGAGGAATGTGTCCAGCAGCAGGAGCCGCGTTGGTTGGGATATGTGTTGCGTATGCCTAACCATCGTTTGCCGAAAAGAGCGCTGTTTTCCATGCCCCACTCAAAATGGCGGAAGCACAGGTGGCCAACCCTTGACCTGGCAGAGGGGTATGGAGCAGATAACGAAATATTTGGGTGGTGTCGGTGCTACCTGCCTTCCAGGATGGGAACCGCGTGATCCCCACTGCGCGCTGTTGGAGATGCTGCAATATATGGCTGCTAATTGGTGCCAGTCTCGTTCGTGCTGTCGGTTTCCATCTAGGTTGCCTGAATGCCGACTTAAAGCGACCACATTGACGTGATGGTTGGGCTTGAGTATTGCAATGATCCCGCGGGCTACAGTGGCTTGGATTTCGTCCCAAAAGGTGCAAGAATTCCAGGAAGGCCAAAGATGAGCGGCCAGACAAAGAGCAGCGAGACCACATACTACGAGTAATCTTGCTACGAGGCGGTCTGGGGTTAATGTCGTGCTGTCCTCTGCGATAAGAGTGTGAAGGCAATAGGGTGTTTTCCTCCAGACGACAGGCATGTCAATATTTATGGAGGGAACGATTTTGCCTTTCTCCGTAGAGCATCCGGTTAAAAAAATTTGACCCTAAAAACCACTACGATCGCCCAGCGGTTGGCGGTGACCGCCGGCACATTCTTCAACACGACTGAAACACC